AAGTTGAATTTCAGTCGCAGTTAATTTCACGTTCCTCCCCACCTGTCCTTTCCGCTTTTGCTTAGAATGACAGTTAAAGTTTGAATCCTTGCTATATGCCAAGTATTTTACTAAGGCCTCTTATGTGGGTTATCTCGTTCTTACCCTAAGTAACTATAAAAATCTATAGATGAGGTTTATGGCTGTTAGGTAACCAGCTCAAGGTCACAGTGCTATTAATTGTGGAACCAAACCCAGCTACAGGAGCAAAACCTAAGGTCTTCTTCATTACTAGGCAATACTTATTGGTCCTTTTTTAAAAAATTGGATATTAATAATATGTTTGCATGTAGAAGTTGTGGGGTTGTAGGAAGTTTGAAAACTAAAAATCATTACAACCACACATGAAATATGCACTGAAGAATCCGATCTTAGAACACACTTAGTTGTATGCTCTAAAAGATTTCCAATGCCTGTATGTGGCATAATTATAACCTAAAACCTTTTGTGTTCAGTGGCAACCAAAACTACCTCATAGTATTTAAAGATACTCTTTTTTGAAAATTGGGACCTGTTTCAGATAAAAAATGTGTGAAAGTTCCTTTCATCAAAAATGATCTTTAAATCACATCTTTCAAACTTGGAAAGGACACGTGAATTATATTAGATGTGAAACATCACAATTCTGAAAGTGGAGTTACATATTTATTCTTCTCTTATAACTGATATTTCTTGATCCAAGTGTGTTGAAGGGATAGATTGGAGAAGTTTGCAAAGATCTTTTATAAATTCCAAATGTATAAAAGCCCATTTCTCACAGATTAAACAATATTCCAAGTTTAATTTTGGCTTGCTTTAGGATCCCAGAAACTCGTAGACTGAGTTATTTCATCAAACACATGCAAGTCTTAACTTGAAACAAACTCTATAAGAGCCAAGAAAAAAGTTAAAAGCATAAGCATAACCACATTAAATAATTCCCTTTTTATTTGAGCAGGTCTGGTGTTACCTTTTCATTTGGGGAAACCGTAATAGTTGTAGGTGTGGTGTTTTTCATACTGACCGTTGCAGCTGAATTTACTGTGTTCTGTGCAGAATGGCTGTTGATGGTGGGTGTGGGGACACTGGAGACTGGGAAGGTCGCTGGAACCATGTAAAGAAGTTCCTCGAGCGATCTGGACCCTTCACACACCCTGATTTCGAACCCAGCACTGAAGTGAGAAACATTTATTTTTAAATAACTCCTCTAATAGTTTTGTTTAAAAAATAAAGTGCTTGCTTTTTCACTTGCTCTTATAATAAAAATACTAATACAATTGTATAAGTTATCTTGAATACTAAAGTAAATATTTGCAACTGATTTTAGTTAAATGGCTAATATTTGAGTCATTTTTACATTTCTCATGTATGTTGATATTTTTTGAGTAAAATAACTTTATAATCATTTAAAATTCTAACTTATGCTACACTTTAAATTTCAGTTTAAAATGATTTCTGAGACATTCCCCTTTTTAGTTTTGCTATAAGAAATTAATTTTGATAGGAAGTTAGATATGCTCGTTTAAATTTTGGAATTTAGTTTAAATGAGCATCTTTACTTAGGATTGAATATAAGTAATTGCATGTTAACAATTGTGTTACTGCTGTAAAACAGGAATAGAATTTTAGACAGATAGTGTCTGACATAAAGCAAATATTCAATTATATAAAACATTTTTTTATTACAAGGTAGAAAAAAGTATCCTTTATAGTAAACTTTTATGCCATTTTCTGTTTGTAAAAAGATACTGTTTTGAAATAGAAATATTGTGCTGCTCCTAGAAGTAAGCTACAGACTCTTGGGTTGTACCAGTGTTTCATCAGAATAACTTTTCTCTCCGTTAGTGTTTGGACAGAATTGACAGTTTCTGCCTTTCTTCGGTCCACCTTATTTTCCTGTGCTTGGATTTTTTTTTTTTTGCGTTATAATTTAAGATACTTAAGTGATTGTTTTAAATTGTATTTCTGTCGATAAGCAATTTTCTAAGAATTTTACCTTTTTTTTTTCTTCCTGACCTTTAAACACCTTGTACAGTGTTTGATCCTCAGTTGTTGTTTTTTTGTTTTTTAAATATATCTTTATTGATTTCAGAGACAAGAAGGGAGAGGGAGAGAGAGAGAAACATCAATGATGAGAGAGTCATTGATCGGCTGCCTCCTGCACGCACCCTGCTGGGGACAGAGCTGACAACCTGGGCTTGTGCCCTGACTGAAAATCGAACCGTGATCCCCTGGATCCTAGGTCGATGCTCAGCTGCTGAACCACACCCAACCGGGTTGATCCTTGGTTAAGATTTTTACACTTTTCTCTTTTTAGGAAGTCAGTTAAATAATGAATTTGATGCTTTCCATCCCCTTTCAAGCTTAAAAAAAAAGATAACCTTTAGGCATAGTTTTTATAAGTAGCCTTTTAATTTCATGCAATAAAAGTCAGAGTAAAAACATTGAACTTGAAATGCTCTGAAATCATGAGGGTAATAGAATTTCTGGTTCTACCTTGTTCATAAATTTAAGAGTTTATTAAATAGAAAGTCTACTCTTGATCCTCATTTGCATTTTTTGTGGGAACATCAGAAACTATAGCTTGTTGTATTGATGGTACTTACATTTTTTATAACTAGGTTTTAATACGCCTTTTCATTCTTTACAGTCTCTCCAGTTTTTGTTAGATACATGTAAAGTTCTAGTCATTGGAGCTGGCGGCTTAGGATGTGAGCTCCTGAAAAATCTGGTAATATATATATATATATATATATATATACACACATTATATGCATGCATATATATATAATGTGTATTTTTTTCTCCTTTGTGGTAATTTTCCTTTTCTGTCATAGTAGGAAATTTCTTTATTATGATTATTAATCATCTGTCTTGAGCCTTTGTTAGATAAGTTCAGATGAGATTCCACACAGTCTTAAATTGTAAAGTTCTCAATTATAAAATCATTGATAGAAATTCTTCTGTTTTCTTCTCTGTTCTTTAAAAGAAGTCTTTGTGCTTCCTCTTGCAAAGTGCTCATTAATTTCAAATAACAAAACTGGTAATTCATATTTTAACATGCAGTTTGCAAGTATTTATTATTTCTTTCATTCCTTAAGATAACCTACTTAGATAGATAGGGCAGACCTGTGGGTCAGAGGTTAGATGATTTACCTCACTTTTCTGGGTGGTAGTAGTGGGCCTGGAATCTAATTCAGGTCGTCATTTCTTACAAGTGTTTTTTTTTTTACTGAACCATGGGTTAATTTGTTTTTAGTGAGTATCATTTTAAGAGAGGGTACTATTTAGTGAAACTATTTTATATATGGATTGGAAATCCATAATTTTTGATTTAGTTAATTAGTTTCATTGACTTTTTTTAAAAAATATATCTTTATTGATTTCAGAGAGAGGAAAAGAGAGGGAGAGAGAGAGATAGAAACATCAATGATGAGAGAGTCATTGATCGGCTGCAGCCCGCAACCTGGGCATGTGCCCTGACCAGGAATCGAACCCCGATCCCCTGGATCCAACTGCTGAGCCACGCCTGGCGGGCAGTTTCATTGACTTTTGATAACCACAAAGTAGGGTGTGTTTTTTTGTTTTTTTAAATAAGTGAATTGATTAAGAACTAATATATGCCAGGCCTCCATTGAAGTGTAGAAAAGTGGAAATGCTATGGTAGACTCCTTAAAAAATGAAGTGAGTAAAAGAACCAGATAAACAACCTAAAGAGTCGGCCTTGGGGCTAAAGTTTAAATATAAACAACCATATTAATTTTGCTAGGAAGTACTAACATCACTCCCAGTGATACTGCAAAAACTTAATACACTTCATGGTACTTAGTGCTGTGCTGGGTTCTGTGGGGTTTGTAGATCATCATGGTCTCTGTCCTTAATGAATTTGAAGTTTCAGTGGGGAGACAACTCACAAAAGAAATAGCAGTATGTATGATGTACTCTGGGTACCAAAAATGACAGTACCTTATCAGGAATAAATACTGACTGTGTGAACCAGAGTTCTGGAAGGGAAGGGTGGCAGTGGTTTCGATAGGCACTGTCTGCACACGTTCCCCAATGCTTAACTTTTTCCAGTTTGAAGCTGTTATTTGCAAATGAGCTATGTACTAATTTTAAATGTAAAGTAATTGAAGATTAGATCTGAAGAGTAATCATCAAGCAACTTTAGGAGTGGCCATGTTATTTATTGCATTATGATACCCTCTTACACTAAAGAAGAGAACTGAGGGTTTTCAGTTTTACTTTGCTTATATCAGACTTAAGTACTCAAGAGATACACATCTTTTTAAAAATTTTTTGTAAGCCCCCCAAGGCTCATTCTAAAAAAAAAAAAATATGACATTAACATTATAATAATTATTTTTAATCCGCACCTGAGGATTTTTTTTCCATTGCTTTTCAGAGAGTGGAAGTGGGGGGAAGAGAGAGAGGCATGATGTGAGAGAGACACATCAATTGGTTGCCTCCTGCACTGAGCCAAACTGGCTAGGGCAACATTATTATTTTTAAAGAATGTCGCTAATTTTTTAAAAGCTATGTTTTTATTGATTTCAGAGAGAGGGAGGGAGAGTGAGAGATAGATAGAAACATCAATGAGGAGAGAGAACCATTTGGCTGCTTCCTGCAGGTCCCCTACGGGGGATTGGGCCCACGACCCCAGCATGTGCCCTGACCAGGAATCCAACTGGGATCGCCTGGACCATAGGCCAGTACTCAGCCTCTGAGCCATGCTGGCTAGGCAACATTATTTTTTAAATTGATTTTTAGAGAGAGAGGATTGAACAATATAGATAGGTATTTGTGGGGCTTACACTTCAGGGGAAGGAAAATGACAAGTAAAATACATAGTATGTCAGATGGTAATGTTTTGGAGAAAGGAAAGGTGGAAGGTAGGCAGCCTGGTGGAAAGGAAAGAGGTTTATGAAAAGGTGCTATTTGAGCAAAGGGTGAGCAAGAACATTCTAGATAGAGGGACCAACAGGTGCAAAAGCTTTGAAGGGGGAGAATGACTATTCCAGGACAACAAGGAGGTCCTCATAGCTAAAGCAGAAGTGGGTAAGGGGAAGTATTTTCAGAGAGGATGCTCGAGAGGTAATGGGAGATGAAGGTGTTTGAAATGAGTATCACAAAAGGCTTTGGAGGTTACTATAAGAACTTAGCCTTTTACTCTGAGAAAGTCATTGGAGAGATTTAGGCAGATGAGCTGACTTGATCTGCCTTTTAACCTGGATCACTGTGGCTGATGTACTGAGGAAAGACTGCAGGAAAGATAGAGGAGGAAGCTGAGAGGCTAGGGAGAAGGTTTTGCAGTCATCGAGGCCAGAGATGGCTGACTTGGAACAGGGTAGTGTCGGAGGTAGTGAGAAGCAGTCAGATGATGGATATATTTGGAAGATGGAGTCAGTAGGATTTGCTCATGGATTGGTTGTGGGACATGAGAGAGAAAGGAGCCAAAGATGACACAACAAGGTTTTCCCTGAGCAACTAGAAAGATGGCATTAGCATTCACTGACATGAGGAGACTGGGAGGACAGATTTGGTGGGGTTGGTGAACAGGAATGGTTGAGTTTAGTTTTGGAAACTGTTGAGATGTCTGTTGGATGATGCTTATAAGATTGTCCAAGATCACCAGAACTAAGCACAAGGGCACTCTAGAATCTAGCCAGTAAAGAGGGTGGAAAGCTGAGTGTGGTAAGAGTGGTCAGGCTCTTGTGCATGTAGTGACCACGTGAAGAACGTGCTCTGAGGAGTTGACCTACACAGTGCTGAAGACTTCAGAGGGTAAGGCCGCTGGAGGTGGCCTGGGAGTTCACCAGGGAGTTCACTGGTGATCTAGACCAGTGCCTTTCAGTGGAGTGGTGTGAGGGAACATTTGTTTAGACATAAGCACAAGAGGGAGTTTGAGAGAGCAAGTATGGACAACTTTCTTGAGGGTTTTTTGTTACCATAGGGGCATAAAAATGGGGAAATTATTAACGAGTGCTTTAATTGGATTACTTAAACTGACCAAGGCCAGAAAAGCATAATTAATTAATGCAACTTAATTTTTTTCGCTTCTGCTGGTAAATTTGAGCAGTGGTTGTACTGTTAGGATGCGTGGCATTGTCACTGAAACACAGCAGGTTTTATTCTTCCCTAGCTGTTTCGATTGCTCGTTCTTGACTCAGTACTTCTAAGCTATTTCTTTTACATGTGCAGTGTACCTGTGTGTGTTTATGATATGTACCTTATAATAGTTATCTCTGAATCGTGCATGCTTAATGTTATATAAGCTGAGATAAAGCTTGTGTGAATTGCTTTTAGCGACATTCTGAAAAACGACTAGTAAGTACAATAGTAAGACTGGTAAAATCAAAGTATCTAGCAGCAGCAGAGCAGCACACTTTACAGATGTGTTTATGAGATTATAAAACAGCTATGGAAAGTTTGAGTTCTCTTTGGTTACGGACTGCTGAAAACTGGGCAGCTACACATTTTGACCTTGCCAAGAACATAAATGTTACATACTTCGTAATCTCTATAGCAGTAGAATATGATCATGCAGAACTTACTATTGAGCATATGTGGATTTAGGATTATGTTGAAAATAAGTCTCAAATTTTTCAAATGTGAGAAAATTTCTGCTTAATTGGATTTTTTTTATCTCCACAGGCTTTGTCTGGTTTTAGACAGATTCATGTTATAGACATGGACACTATAGATGTTTCCAATCTAAATAGGCAGTTTTTATTTAGGTAAGTTTTAATGTCTAACAAATTTCCAACAAGTTTATGTGATTTGGGGGTAGTTGTGCTCTGAAGGCACAGGGTTCAGCCTTCTGGTGATTTCATAAGATACCAGTAGCCGGAATATTAGGCCCTAGTGAGATACATTGGTGGGGACACGTGAGCTAGTATCTGAGTGGTGACTGGGACAGTGATGTTGTGATGGAGTATGAGCTTTTTACAGAAGGGGAAAGGAGATGAAGAATGATACAGAGAAAACAGAGCAGTTGAAATGGAACAAAGGGATCATTACCTTAGACATACATGAAATACAGAATCATCTTGGAATGGCTTGTTAGAGAGTTTTGAAAACTGGAGATGGTACACATACACAGATATGAGGAAAAGTTCATTAGTGGATGTTACTATGTAACATGTAGGGTTTAAGCGGCTCCATAAAAGTGTCTCTCAGTTAAAGAATTACAGATGTGGAGAGGTAATGAACTTTTCGTCTTTCGATAGTGAATAGGTTACTGACAAAGCAATCATTTAATCATGGGTATGCAGGGTGAAGTTTCAGCATTGGCATAACCTCTATCTTTGTGGAAGTTCTTAAAGAGATTGAAGGTTAAACTAAGTCAAGTTAATGAAATTTGCAATGTGAACTCTCCATTTAACTTTTTGTTTTTTTTCTTTATTTTTTAACTCTTGAAATTTTCCTTCTCTATAGAAAAGTTTTGGTGCCCTTGCCAGTCTAACTAATTTTGGTGTATAAATGTTTTTTAAAAAACCACCACTGAATTAACTGGTTATGATAATAATGGCCATGCCCTTTAATTTGTGGCTAAAATAATGAAAGGTCTTAATGATAGTTAACGTGTATTGAGTGCTTAGGATGTATAATAAAGTACTTTCTAAGCAGGCTCTTTATGTTACCTCATTTACTCTCATCAAACCTTCACGGTTGTTTTCAAGGTTAAGTAATTAGGCCAAATGTTTGTATTCAAGGTGCAGCTTTTAGGTGAAACAATCTGATTCCCTAACCCTGGAATGGTAAACTTGCAAAAAGACCCACAAAAAAAATCCAGGAGTTACTTTGTTTTGGATCTACTGTGAAAGCACATACAATCCACACCTTAAAAGACTCTTGAAAGTCTCCTTTATCCCTTTTACATTCCTGAAGAGCTCTGTGTCCAGAGTGGTTGAAATCAAGTTCCTTGATTTATGCTGGGGCCTTTTCTGTTGCAAGTTAGGACAAAGTTAGAATAAAACTCTTACCGTAAGTTTTGAATGAAAAAAGGACACTGCTTTATTGGAGAGAAGAAAATTGACTCATTAAAGTATTTTTCTTTAATATTCCAATTTTAAATACAATATTTCTAATAAGCACATTGATTTAAAAATTTTTATTATTATTTTTAAAGTGTTTACTCTGTACTTAGATATGAAGGAATACAAGGAGAGAAGAGTATGGTCGTTCTTCCTGGTGTTCTGTCTAGCAGGTGTGATAGACATGTACATAACAGAAATACATTGTGAAGAGCAGTAGTGGAACTCCTCCTGGGTCCGTGTGTGAGGGACTGACCTCCCTGAGGACAATGAGGACGTGTTAGGAAAGAATGTATCATTTGCACTGAGATGAAACGACAGAACTCATACCATTTCTTTTTTTTTTTTTTTTTAAATATATCTTTATTGATTTCAGAGAGAGGAAGGGAGTGGGGAGAGAGATAGAAACATCAATGATGAGAGAGTCATTGATCGGCTGCAGCCCGCAACCTGGGCATATACCCTGACCAGGAATCGAACCCTGATCGCCTGGATCCTAGGTCGATGCTCAACTGCTGAGCCACGCCCAGCTGGGCAGCATTTCTTATTTATAGCTGTGATTATTATCTAGCAGGGATCTTTCGAGGCCTTCTAGTTTTAGCTTCATGAAAATATGGGTGACATTTGCAATTTAGGTAAAGTCTTCGGAATCATTCCTTCTTCAAAAATGGAGTTACAGCTTCTTTTTTTTTAAATATGATTTTATTGATTTTAGGGGGGAGGGAGAGAGAGAGAAACATCAGTGGTGAGAGAGAATCATCTATTGGCTGCCTCCTGCACACCCGGTACTGGGAATCGAGCTTGAAACACCAGCATGTGCCCTGCCAGGAATCTAATCAGTGATCACCTGGTTCATAGCTCGACAACGCTCAACCACTGAACCACATTGGCTGGGCAGTGGTTACCACTTCTTATGGGACACAAAATGGGATAAATGAAGGTTCCTGCATCCCGAGAATGAATCTCATTGTGTGTATGTCAGCCAAGACATGTGTAGTAACACTTTGAAGTTCTGGGGTGCAGGGTAGATACTGAAAGACTCTAGGTCTGGGATAATTTTTTTTACAGTAAGAAATGGTCAGGAAACATGCCATTATTATGCTTTACCTAGAGGAATAAAACTCCACATTTTCGTCTAAATACTTACATGTGTCAGTACTTGTAACTACTTAATTTGGAACATCAACAAGGGTTGGCATTTGGTGTTGACTGGCTGATTATTCATCACAAATACTTAGATAAAAATATTTCTTCTAAGTATTCTCAGTATTCTCTAATTAATGCGGATATTTTTATGTTTGAAATTATGTAGCTCATCTAGATTTATATCATGAATGATAAATATAATTTTTCCTGTAGGCCTAAAGATGTTGGAAGACCTAAAGCTGAAGTTGCTGCGGAATTTCTAAATGACCGAGTTCCTAATTGCACTGTAGTTCCGTATCCTTTTGACAAAAAAAAAAAATTACTTAATTTTTTAAAGGTTTTGTTTTTTTCTTTGCTATGAAAGACATGTTTAACACAGAGAATGCGGATAAGCAAAAAGACCAAGATCATCAGCAGTAACATTTTGCTCTGATTTCTTCCAGTTCTTTCTTTAAGGTTATATACATTTTTTTGCCCTAATTTTTAAATTATGCTTCTGTAGTCAGTACTGTCATTTATTCTGCGTTATTGCCCCTTAAGTTCAGTATCAGCTGCATGTCTCCTCTACTAGACTAAGTCCCTAGGCTGGATCCAGTTAATCTTTGTGTCTCCTTAAGTAGCAGACAGAATAGAGTCAATATATTATTAACCAAATGGAAGTTGTGTCAGAGTCAGTTTACTTTTACAAGAAGTATGTTTTTAAAAAAGAGCATTCACACTTGGTTTTCACACCTTTATATCAGGGGAATTTTTATTATTTTATAGAAATTCAGGAGATGGGATTTGCTGTGTAGAAAATCCTATAGGACACAGAGTCATCAATTATATTTCAAAATACAATTGTATTTCTACGTACTGGTGGTGAACACGTGGGGAACTGAAATTTAAAATTCAATGCCATTTACAACCACTCAAAAACCTTAGGGCTGAATAAAATATGTGGGGTTTATATGCTGGAAACAGCAAAATGCTGATGAAAGAAATCAAAGAAGATCTAAATAAATAGATATTTCATGTTCAAGAATTGGACAGTTCAACATAGTAAAGATGTCACTTATCCCCATATCTGTATCCAAATTTAACACAATCTCTGCCAAAATCCCAGGAAATTTTTGTCAGTACAGACAAGATTATTCTAAAAGTGATATAGAAAGACAAAGGAATACCTAAAATAATGCTGAAAAAATATAGTGGGAGGAGTTACTATCTAATTTCAAGAATAATCAAGACTGCATAGTATTGCCAGGGAGAGAGATCAGTAGAACAGAGTAGAGAAGACAGAACTAGCCCCATGCATGTATGGCTAGTTGATACTTGACAAAGGTGCAAAAACAATTCAGTGGAGGAAGGATAATCTCTTTAACAAATTGTGGTGAAGCCATTAGATACCCATAGATAAAAAAATGCATCTCGACCTAACCCTCAAAGTTACAAAAAGTAACTCAAAATGGATCATAGGTTTAAGTGTCAAATATAAAACTGCAAAACTTTGGAAGATAACAAAGGAGAAAATTTTGGGGATCTAGAGTTTGGTGAAGTGTCCTTTGACCACATTAAAAACATGATACACAAAAGAAAAAAGTTGATAAGTTGAACTTCATCAAAACTAAAAACTTTTGCTTTGTGAAAGGCCCTGTTAAGAGAATGAAAAGACAAGCTGCAGATTGGAAAATATTTAGAAAGCAGGTATCTGACAAAGGACTCACATGTAGAATATATAAAGAACTTTCAAAACTCAACAGTAAAAATAATGCAATTAGAAAATGGACAAAGAAAGGAAAGGATATTTCACTAAAGAAGATGGGAAAAAACACATGAAAAGATGTTCAACATCTTAGCTATGAAAGAAATCCAAATTATGACCATATTGAAATATTACTAGTCCACCTATTAGACTAGCTAAAATAAAATAATAGCAAATGCTGGCAAAGGTACAGAAAAACTGGATCACTCATTGCTGGTGAGAAATATAAAATACTATAACCATCTGGAAAGTAGTTTATTTCTTAAAAACCTAAACATACATACACTTTCCTTATCACCCAGCAGTTTCATTTGTGGGCATTTATACCAGAGAAATGAACACTTAAGTCTGCATAAAAACTTGTTCTTGATTGTTCATAACAGCTTTATTTGTAGTAACCCCAAACTCTTAACAACCAAAACAGCCATCAGTAAGTGAATTGTTTAATGTGACACAGCCATACTATGGAATAATACTGAGCAATTAAAATGTACAAACTAATGAAACAATAGCTTGGACGTCAAGGGCATTACGCTTTATGAAAAATGCCAGTCTCAAAAGGTCGTATATTGTATGATTCTACTTATATAACATTCTTCAAATGACAAAATTATGGAGATGGAGAGTAAATCAATAATTGCCAGGGCTTAGGCATGGTGGGCCAGGGAAGGGGTGACTCAAAGTGGGTAGCATGAGGGAGATCTTTGTGCTGATCGATTGTTGTGTGTCTAGACTGGTGGTTACACAGATCTACATGACACAATGATACACACTTGTACCAATGTCACATTCCTGGTTTTGTTATACTAATGTAAGATACAACCTTTGGGGGAAACCTGGTGAAAGATATAGGACCTTTCTGTACTATCTTTGCAACTCCTGTGAATCTGTTACTTAAAAATAAAAAGTATAAAGATGCAAATGCAGTCCCCTGTTAGGGAGAAAGAAAAAAAATGTACACTTTGTCTATCCCCATTATTCAGATCTGGGAAACTTTGGATATTTTGTAGAATTGCAGGAGGTGGGATTTCTTGGTCTGGCTCCATGGGGCCCTCCCTTATTGCTGTTCCTCCAGTGTTTGCTCTGGTTTTCTTTTTTAATTCTCACCTGAGGACATTTTACCCATTGCTTTTGAGAGAGAGAGAGAGAAACATCGATGTGAAAGAGACACATCAATTGTTTGCCTCCTACACGTGCCCCAGCTGGGGCCAGGGATCCGTGCTCTTGGCCAGAATCGAACCCAGGACCCTTCAGTCTGCAGACTGACATTCTCACCACTGAGCAAAAATGACTAGGGCTGCTTGGGTTCTCTTGACCTTTCTGTTCTGGTTGCCACTTATGTCCTGTTTGCCTGACTTCAAAAGAAACGGAGTTCTGAATGGGTGAGAGCTAGTATCGAATTAATTTTTCCATAGCTTTGTTTGTAGGCCAAAATAAATCTAGGGCAACTATATATTCCTCTTTTTCTATTTTGCTTTAAAAACATATATAATGGATTATTTATTGTAATTTTAGAGAAGTATAATTTATATATTATTTAACAAAATTACTCCATTAGAAAAATTTAAGTGTTTTGCCTTATGGGTTGTTAAAATATTAAGTGCTATGATTGATTCATACCCAACCAGTTTTGAATGGGATTCCTTTTGCAGCCTCCAGGCAGGGTAAGACTGCTGATGGGGGTTGGTTGGGTAAAACCGAGAGACTTGGAAAATAGTAAAATGAGGGAGGAAGAAAAAAAGTCATACCTCTTTCCACCCCTACCCCCACTCCTCAGAAAAACCAACAATAACAAGTCATTGGCAACTGAAAAGTTTTTGGAAACTTCTGGGGCTTTTGTTTTAATTAGCTTTGCAGTAACTCTTCAAATCACCCAGCTGTGAATATGACCTATGATATGCTTGTTCCCCTCACTAAACAAATGTTTATTGCCTCTTGGCTTGATGCTGATGGTTGCGGACACACATGCTACTTTCCCAAGGCCCATGATATTTAAAAAAAATTTTTTTTATTGATTTGAGAACGGTAGAGAGAGAAACATCAATGATGAGATAGGGTCATTGATTGGCTCCCTCCTGCTCTCCCCCTGCTGGGGATCGAGCCTGAAACCTGGGCCTGTGCCCTGACTGGGAACGAACCTCAGTTTTGCGGATCATAGGTTGGTGCTCAACCCCTGAGCTACACTGGGCAGGCAGGGCTCATCATTTTATATAAAAACGAAAGCAGAGTAGAAAATTTTACAGATGCATAAATATGGGCGTTCCGGGATGAGACTAAGTATAAGTAGTTGGGGAGGAGTGTTAGAAAAGCAGTTTTGTCAGGAGGTGGCTTATGTTCATTTTGTCAGTCCTTGAATTCCACTACTTTGAAATTTATCTATTTCGTTTTAAATATACATTTATAAGTTTTTTTATGTTATTGTCAAATTCACTTTACAAGTTTTGAACGTAGCAGCTCAAGTTCCTTTACTTATATTCAGACATTTCAACAAGATCCAGGATTTTAACGACACTTTCTATCGACGTAAGTTCATTTGAAATTCAACTCTCACTGAATTCTAAGTGTTTTTCAGTTGGTCGCTATTTGAAAATTGCTATTTGACGGCTATTCAGTTGTTTTCGTCTCTTGGTGGTGTTTTCAGTAAGGTTGTTGATGGATTGAAAAGAGCACAGTGCCATTGTTTTAATTCTTACTTGACACCATTGACTGCATTTTTCTATGCTGACTTGAGTAAGGATTATTCAAGGATTAGGAGAGGGGTGTGTATGTGTGTGTGTGTATTATACTAAAAAGGTTTTTTTTTTTGTATTTTCTTAGAGGGTGTAAATTATGTTGTACCATGGCACTTTTAAAAATGAAACTTGCATTTTTTTCTTGTAGAATTTCATATAATTGTGTGCGGACTGGACTCTATCATAGCGAGGAGATGGATAAATGGCATGCTGGTAAAGACTGTTCAGTTCTCTGAGGTTCTTGCTATTGCTTTTAACACACTGGAAATGAGAATTGCATATCATGCTTTTGAAAAATCAGTTTATTTAATTTCCATTCAGTTCATGTACCTCATTGTTTATTGCTAGTCGTTAATTTCCAAGTGAGAACCCAAACTGCTAATACCGTCACCCCTTGATTTGATATATTAGACTCAGTCATGCTGTTGACTTGTGGAATTACTCAGCAGTGTGCTTTTTCTTGTGAATTCTTATCCCCCTCTCCTTTTAAACCCTTCAAATAATTTTCCTAGATATCTCTTCTAAATTATGAAGACGGTGTATTAGATCCAAGCTCCATTGTCCCTTTGATAGATGGGGGGACAGAAGGTTTTAAAGGAAATGCCCGTGTGATTCTGCCTGGAATGACTGCTTGTATTGAATGCACACTGGAACTGTATCCACCACAGGTAACCCCAGAGCACTTGCATTTGTTATACAGTATCTTGGGATGGAATTATCTTTGAAATATTAAATCTATTCAATATGTAGGATTTTTAATTAGGGGTCACCATATTTTTAAAATCATGCTAAGAAGAAAGATAATAAAATATGAAATTCTGCTCTATTTGAGGAAAGATATGGACTGAATATCATAGTTTTGATACTATTATTTTCATAATTAGTATTAATTTTTGGGGAGTAGGGATTAAGGGATCAATTTTAAAACTGTATGTTGGATAGAGCTATAATCTGTTTTTTTTGGTCTTTGCTGTGATTGTTTCAGGGAAATAAAGATACCGGGGATGAGAATGACCTTTCCAAAGATGGTGGTTTTTAATCTATACACCCACTTTAAAGGGCAGTTAGAATTATGATTTATTTATGAGTATTCACTTGGAATTAATTTAACTCTTGAATTTGCTTTTGTTTTATTTTATACCTTCAGATTTAAATCAGGTAAACATAACAAAGTGCTCGTATTTGAGAATTTATTCAGCACATTGTTTTACACAGTCTAACAAAGTTAAATGTATACAAGGAACCCTGATTTACAGGTCAGTCAGCCTGGATGAAGAGACTCAGGTGCTTTTAGAGACCTTAATGGTGTGAGAGTTTTGTTTCTATAAGCGGAAGGCCAAGGTGAATTATAACAAACTTACAAACTAGGTCATAACTAGAAGTTACATTTTTAAAGTAATTCATTGTTTTAAATCCACTAAAACGGGCAAACTGTGGTTTTAGGTGAATTTTCCCATGTGCACCATTGCATCTATGCCCAGGCTACCAGAGCACTGTATTGAGTATGTAAGGATATTGCAGTGGCCTAAGGAGCAACCTTTTGGAGGTAACAAACCTAATCTCATAATCCAGAATTGCATAAAATATTTATTCGTCTATATTACTCAGTTGGATAATTACGTTAAAAACAAGCTGACTTATGTTTACGTTTCTGTCTGTCTCTCCTGTTTTCCCTGACAGAAGGGGTTCCATTGGATGGAGATGATCCTGACCATATTCAGTGGATTTTCCAAAAATCCCTGGAGAGAGCATCACACTATAACATTAGGGGTGTTACGTATAGACTCACGCAAGGTAAGTTAGTGAATTTCTGTGAATAATGATCTTGGGGTGATCCCTTTTTTACTGGCCGGGGATACTTTGGAGGAAGTAATTGATGTGATTTTAGGTAGTTTCATCACTTGAAGTTCAGTAAGGGGACCGTGGAAGTCATCGTTTTCAGGTGCCCAAAGTTGGTATGAGGGAAATGAGCTCTGTAGAATCCGTACTACCACTTAGCTAGGAGGAGTTTAATAAAATCATTGACTTTTATTTACTTAGTATTGGAAGTTGACTCAGTCACTTTATCTTTCACTGAAGAGCAGTTTATTGCCTCCTGGGCTGTCTGTTCCACAGTTGGACAAGACTTAGACAGTTATTCTATATATTGAGCAGAAGTCTCCATCTTTAGTTAGGTCTGAGTATTGTCCCAGGGAATACTATATATGTATAAATCTAACTCCCTCAAGTAATAGCACCTAACGTGTTGAGAACCGTGGTCACGTTCCCTCCAAATCTTTATCACTGTCATGAACCTTCCTAGTTCCTTTAACCCTTTGACATGGCACATGACTTTAACTCCCTATTAGGTTGTTTTCCTCTAACCATACTTCAGTTATCCATACTTCTCTGAATTAGATTAGAATATAGCATAGAATATCTACAATAAGAATATTTTAGATAATTCCCTTCTGATAACTCTGACAATTGATGTATTCTTAGAGAAGAGCAGGTTGTTTTTGTTGTTTATTTGTTGTTTATGTTGATCCTATACTTTCAACTTTTTGAGATAATTGTCTACTAAAATCTAGTTTTCTCCATGTATGCAATTGCTAAGCAACACCTGCAAGACCGAATTGGCAGAGAATTGACAACTGAATCATACTTTTGATCTGCCCTAGATTTTAGATTTTATCTCTTCCATTGATCTGACTTTCTTGAATACTGCTATTTCTTTGTCTTGTTCACAAGGATGTCATGAAAGATCTTTCCGGATGTTCTACTGAAGCCTGGATATACTGTCTTCCATATTTCCCTGGGTTGCCAAGCTAGTCATAGTAACTAAGTGAGACTAGTCCAACATGACTTGTCTCAGTGAGCAATCATAATGCTCAGTCTTCGTGATCAATGCTTCCTAATCTAGGTACTCACAGTTCATCCTTTATAGAATTTCATCCAAAATCATTGCCAAGTTCCCAAGAAAGAAATTTCTTCTTCTTGAAAATCTGCCATTTCTCTTCTGTGATTATTTCCTTATATACACTGATGTTCTAGTAATGTCATTTGAAAATTCCATTCTTACACACTCCTTGCTGCTTCCTGTACTCCCCCTCTTCTGACCTGCTTTGTGTTCCTTGAACATACCAAGCTCATTCCCATGTGAGAGCCCTAGTACTCCTGATCCTTATGCCTGGACTGCTCTTCCTTGGATCTCAAGGCTGGCTGCTCATGTCTTAACCATTTCTCCTGATCATTTACCGAAAATGACTTCTTAGCCATTTACTATTTTATCTTTTTATAATTGCTCAGAACTAATGGTGGTCTCACTTTTCTATGCAAGAAATACTTTATACTTACACTCTCATATATCCATGCTCTGGGGCCTTTGCCCTCGCTGTTTATTCTACAGAAATGCTCTTTCCCTAAGTCATTGGCGTGGCCATGTCTTTCTTATGATTTGGGTTTCAGCTCAAATCACCACCTCCTCAAAGAGGTCCTCTCTGACCATCCAGCTGTTAACATGTACCTTGTTTTACTTTTCTTCATAGAACTCTTCAGTATCTGAAATTTTCTAATGTACTTAAGTGTTATCTCCCACACCAGCATGAAAGCTCTATAAAAGCAGGTGATTTATTTTTATTTCTGTTTTTGCGTAACAGTGTCTGGCATATAGTACTGATTTGGTAATGGTCTGAATTAACAGATGAGTTCAGCTGGCCCTGATCAGGAACTGGAAGCTCTTTCCTGTGTGTACTCTCATTCATCCTCTGTACCGTTGAGCAGGGTGCATGCTTTGCAGCCTGACGACTGAGGGCCTTTGCAAGGAGTACAGAAGCAAAACGGGACGTGAAGTCCAGCTTTTTTGAAGGATGGAGGTTTCGGGGAGTCTGTCCTTTTGGCAATGCTTTTGTTGGGCAATGTCTTTTCTACTCCATCCTGTTTGTGACTATCTGCTCCTCCTTTCAGTACGTCTTCCTATATGTGGCTCACTGGAGAGCATCCAGTTTAACCATCATCAGGCTGGCTCCTCCCTATTTCTCCTGCTCTGAAGTTATACGTAATCGTATGGTCAGAAACAACTTTTTAAAAACAGCCCTCCAGACTTAGAACTGACTTCGTGCCTTCTTAGATATTTGCTGCTTTTCTGAAGTTTTTGAAACCTGTCCACACTGGGAGTCCCATCTTTCATGCTCCCTCCCACCCCACCATAATTAATATGGTTACTTGCGTTTGTAGTTTTTGTTTTCTAAAGTGAACAGTTCAGATGTAGCTATAAAATAGATATTTAATACTTAAAAGTTGTTTAAGGTAGAGCTTTGTTCATTCCTAATCTGAGTACTGATATAAAAGGTAGGGTAGAACTAGAGAACTGTGTTTACTGTTTTGTGTAGTGCAAGTTTTAGAGTGAAGATAATAATGTGGAGCAGTTTCTTTGTTGTAGAGTTTTGTGAACCAAATGGCTGAGGAAAAGTTAGGTAATTCTTATTCTTCATAGTTTACCCAGACCATACTGGTACAGCTTTATGTCATGTGTTGGTTAAGATTGTGCACTTGGGGGCGATTTGGGTCTCATGTACTACCCCCATCACTTACTAGGGGTATGGCTGTGGGTGTGGTTTCGTTTCTCTCAGCCCCATTTTCTTTGTCCTTAAAGTCAGAGTGATACGACGAATGTAAGGATACTAGGAAAAGTCAGTGATAATACGCTTAATTTTCACAGTGTGCCTGGAGCACACTAAACACCAGTGGTTAGCCATATTATATTATGATCCCATCTTTCTTTGAAGCTTAGTGAAGAGTTTCCTTTTCTTTGCTACTGTAACTTCCTTAAGAATCTGAACATGCTACAAAATGATGGGAATGTGGAACAAAGTAGTTTCATGGCTCAACTTAAGTCTATTTTGTCACTTGAAAGCCTGACAAATCAAGTTGTGGAAAATGATATTTAATAAATCATATTGTCTAACTTAAGATACCTACTTTTTGAAAGAAATGATCCTGTTTTAATCAGTGTATTTTTTCAGGCGTAGTGAAACGAATCATTCCTGCAGTAGCTTCCACAAATGCAGTCATTGCAGGTGAGTTTAAAAAGGCCATTACATAATGCTTTCTTTCCTTTAATTTTTGATTTAATACCTAAATTGACATTTTTGCAGCTTCTGGATCTCAGAAAACTGGTATAATAGGAATTTTATATCTTCTAAGATGGATGGTATAATTAAGCTGTCCAAAAAAGAATAAGCTATTGGACCTTGTATATAATTTGTATTGTATTATGTCATAAAGTGCTCTGTAGTAAGCAGACATTTTTGTACCATTTCTTTTTAATCACTGTAACAAGCTGCTCATTAATCTGAAGAGGAGGAAGGGAAACATGAAATGTTATTCTTATCACTTGGATTATACAAAACAAATATAAAATATGTTACTTTTTCAGTATTTTAAAAATGAGTATATACTTTATTTTTAATCAATAGCCTTGTAAATTTAACTGTTCTGATTTACAATCAACTTTCTTAAAATGTTCTGATTTTAAATGTCTAATTTTCATTGAGTTAAAGCACCCTTATTTTCTCCCCTTTTCAGCTGTGTGTGCCACTGAGGTTTTTAAAATAGCCACAAGGTAATGAGTTTTATTTTTAATATGGATGTAAATTTGTTTTGATCTGGCTCAGTTATGTAAATGTGGACATTTTTTCATTACAGTGCATACATTCCCCTTAATAATTACTTGGTATTCAATGATGTAGATGGACTGTACACATACACATTTGAAGCAGAGAGAAAGGTTAGTAGTATTGTACTAATGAAAACTTGTTTTGATCATGCATACTTTGATTTTTAAATATTAATTACTGGTTAGAAATATAAATGAAATTGCCCATACCCTAAGCATTTTCTAACTTCTAGAACCTTAGTCACTGTATATCTTTTGTAGTGTAGCCTGTGTAGCAAATTAACTTAGGAAAAATGGCCTATTATGAAAGGCATAGGTTTCTAAAGCGTAAACATTTGTTCATAGGAAATACACATGGTTATAAAACAAGTTCATTTTTACTTCATTATTATAAAGAGACTGTTGTTGGTACATGTGCTGCTATGATTTATTGTTTTTTATGTGTGTAGGAAAACTGTCCAGCTTGTAGCCAGCTTCCACAAAATATTCAGTTTTCTCCATCAGCAAAGCTACAGGAGGTTTTGGATTATCTAACCAATAGTGCTTCTCTGTAAGTGTTCTGGACTTCTGTTGTGTTGTAGAAATAATTTTTGAGATTTTAAAACTTTAAAGACTAGAATTGTTTTTTAAAAAGTGACCTTTGATTTCCCCCCTTATAATTAGGCAGATGAAATCTCCAGCCATCACAGCCACATTAGAGGGAAAAAATAGAACACTTTACTTACAGGTGATAAGTGTTCAGATTTTCTTTCTTTCATAATTATATTAAAAGTTTAATTTTATTTAATGTGTTTTACATTAAAATAATTTTGTTTTCTAGTCGGTAACCTCCATTGAAGAACGAACAAGACCAAATCTCTCCAAGACATTGAAAGGTATTTTAAATGAGTACATTTACTGATCAGCTTCAGTAACAAACCCTTCTAGATTTGCTCTTAATACCTCCAAATGATGATTTCATCATAATTACTTATATCTTTAGAAATAATAATAGAATTGCTCTTTTAGTAGAATACATAAAAATTTCTAAAGAAAGCAAATATAATACTGCCTTGATTAAAGAGAACTGGGTTTTGATGTTTATCTCAACTACAATATTCTGTAGTTTGTATATCTGGTGGTGGTATTGTTTTTGTTGAGACTTTTTTTTCCTCTTGGGTTAATTATACTTTTTCTGTTTTAGAATTGGGACTTGTTGATGGACAAGAACTGGCAGTTGCTGATGTCACCACACCACAGACAGTATTATTCAAACTTCATTTTACTTCTTAAGGACAATAAATCTGCATATAATAGACAATTTATGGAAATGCTATACTTTGTGGATGCTAAGAAATTTCATTCATTCATTTTTAGCATTAGTGTTGCTGAAATTTGACTTTTTTTTTTTTTAATGAGTCACTCTTTTTTACCTTTATCACTTTCCCTTGAAGACAGAATTTGGGGTTGGTGCTTGTAAGCATTTTCATTAATAATATGAGAAATTGATGCCTAGAGAAATACATTATGAGCAAATGTATTGCTTCTTTTAGAGGAGGCAGACATCCTTTTGTGTGTGAATTTTGTTATTATGGTCAAAGAGTGCATTCCCCAGTTTTCATTTGAGCACCCACATATACAAAAGATGTCCCTTTAAAGAAAATAAGAAAATTAAGTTATAAATAACTGTTATAACTTGACATCTGGAATATATTGAACATAGCCTGTATCTTACCTGTTTTAATATTCATTCAGTTGTGGCTGTTCAGATGAATATTAACTTTTCCAAAGGTTACCTTGCCCATGATAATTTGTAAATAGTGTTAGAGCTGAATACTGTGCATGGAAATGGGGAATATTTTCATGTTTACGTGCAGTGCCATAGAGTCCAATATGCACAACATTAAAGCCAAGACATGGTGGTTTAAAAGAACTTAATGTTTAAACAGTTGTCACTGATGCTTCCACACTATTTATTAATAAAATCATATATTGTCTACTTTTCTCCCTGAAACTTTTAAAAATGTAAAGGATAGTAAGTAGTTCTATAGTATTGTAGGAATAACTTTTAAATGTGTAGCAGAATTACTAATACAGAATTTTATGGCACCTGAATTAATATTTTTGCCACAGTAAATATTTACTGTTTTAATTTAATTTGCTCTAACATAATGAAATGGAATAACTGTATTTTTATATTAAGGTCTCTTAAAATGTACCCCCCCATCCTCCAAGAAAGATTTAAGGCTTAAAACAAAATCAAGCATAAGTACTGAAAAATGAGTTTTCATATCAGGGTGGGAACATGTAGTATGTGTTCTCTCTTTCTCTGTCTTTGACTTAGGTGTCAGTCTTCTATTCAGAAGCTTTGTGACTACATATCACTGGGTTATATTTTCACTTACTATTTTTTCTTGCTTCATATTGACAAATAATTTGTTTCATTATAAAATCATATCGGCTAAATTTCTCTACTTAAAAAGTTACAGAATCAGTATAAATTTTTTAAAGTGAAGGAACTAACATGTAGCACTTCTTTTATACAGGTGCAATAATAATTCTCAAAGTAGACTTGTGAGAAGGGGCAGAATCTCCATCTGAGAGCTTAATAGTTTTAGAGATTTTAGGTCATTTATCCAAGACTGTATAATTAAAAGTCTTGGGAGAGGGATTTTTTAGAGGGATTTTTTATTCTTTCTTTGTAATCGATATTTTTCCTATTGCTTTTCAGAGATAGTGGAAGGGACACACACACACACACACACACACACAATCAATGTGGGAGAGAGACATCAATTGGTTGCCTCCCCCATGCACCCCCACCATGGGGATTGAGGCTGCAACTAAGGTACGTGCCCTTGTCTGGAATCCAACCCAGGACCCTTCTGTCCGTGGGCAGGCGATCTAACCATTGAGCCAAACTGGCCAGGGTGGGAGAGAAATTTTTAAAGAAAATTAGTTCCATATGGCTTGGTTCCTTTCAGTGTGGTAAAATTCTCAAATATAGGGAGGGGACTGGTAAGGTAAATAACCACAGCAAGGAAGGGTGTAATAAGAGAATATAATAAGATTAGTTAGTTGGTTCTGTGGCAGACTGAAGTGAAAAGTATTCTTTAATTTATTGGGGTGACATTGGTTAATAAAATTATATAGGTCTCAGGGGTAAACTTCTATAATACATCATCTGTATATTGTGTGTTCAGCACCCCAAGTCAAGTTTCCTTCTATCACTATTTACCACCCTTCCTTACCTTCTCATCCCCGCCCCCAGTGCAAAATATTTGTCAAAAGGGGCAACCACTCCGGTTGAGTTATCCATGTTGGTATCCTTATTTTTCAAAATCAACTGGAAATTTGGATTTTTGTATGAAATCTGGCTTTTAAATGTTGGTAGAATTTTAGCCTTAACACTACAGGGGACAAACCAAACAGCCTCTAACTAGATTAGGAAGGCCACCAATTGGATTTCTTCGTATAGCTAAATGTTTGAAGAGTGCATGCAGAAAAAGTGGTATTTTAAATAATGGGCACAGTACACATTAATAGAGTAATAGGCTTAGTGCTTCCCAGGTTTGTTTTGACGGGCGGAGAGTGGACCGTATTGAAAGGGAGAGACTGCCTTCTGCACCCTTATTCTAGCCTGTAACTCATTGTGGAAGATGGCTTTTTACTTCCATCAAGTGGGCTGGGTCAGGATTTTAAATACAATGTCCAGCATTTCTAGGCAAAACCCAAACCCAGGGTTTCTCCTTAAGGCCAAGTTAACACGGACAGAATTAAATATTTGAGAGGAAGCGCTAAGTAGAAGTGCACCTCCCGGACATCCAGTTTGCAATTATTGCTGGCAGGGCGCAGCTCTTAGCTTAGCGAGCTATTTTCTAGGAAGGAACTCACGAGAAAACTGCCAGGAGTTCCTGCTCTACCGCTGGAATCGCTGTCAATAGAAACCGTTTTGCTGTCCTCGGTAACTAATGGCAACCCGGGGCTCCCGGATGTGACGTCAGGTTCCTTCCGTTCGCTCGCCGGCGGAACTCCGGGCTCCGAGGTCCCGTAGTTGTGTACGTGGAAGTAGCCGGCGCATGCGCAGTTCGCCCTGTCTGCGGTGGGCAGGACTGAGGGTAACCTCCCGGCTCGGGGGAGACGTGGGGTCATGAGGGCCCGCTGACAGCGCCCGCCGAGCGCAGAAGC